TTTTTAGAAGTTAAAATTATAGTCTTTCAAACTAAATAATTTTAGTTTTATGGAAAACTCACTTCATGATTCCTCCTCTCCTATCAGTGAAAATGTTACAATGGGCCAGCACTGGTATAAAGAGTGGTATTTGAGAACCCTGGTGCTCTCATGCCATGCAGAAGAATGAAAGAATTCAATGGTGCATACACACAGTAAATCAGCAGGGTGCGTTTCAGGAAAGGAAACATCCATATGAGAGTTCTTTATCTCACTCTGGGCTGACTCGTTACTGGCATCACTTGATTATTATAGCCAGCCAGCAAGCCAAGTGCTAGATCCAGCTCTGAGAATTGTCACCCTAAGCTTACCCAAGGAAATGACAACTCAGAAAAATAATCCATATTCTTTCTAACTTAGGAATGACTCATCCTTGTGGGCTGTGAAGGAAGGAGAATAAATGGGCTCTCGTGTATTTTGCTTGGTCTTCTTAATCCCTCATTCTGCATGAGTGTGCCAAGGAGTATAAATATGTGAGGTTGGTTACCAAAAATCAATCCAGGCTTAGAAAATAAAATGTGGAAAACATTGAAAGACTAGCTGAGTCATTCATTCAACACACATTTGCGGAGCACCTAGTACATACCAGACTGTGCAAAAGACATGGCAATTAAAAACAAACAGGAACACAGCAGATATAATCTCTGCCATCAAAAGATATTATGCTAAGTTACCAGGTATTGCAGAATTTCCTTTTGGAGGTTTGAATAATATTCTATTTTATTTCTATACAACATTTTCTTTACCCACACATCCACTGATGGACACTTAGGTTGCTCCCATCTCTTGGCTATGGTAAATAGTGCCACAACGTACATGGGAGTGCTAACATCTCCTTGAGATTCTAATTTAAATTCATTTTGATAAGTCTTCAGAAAGTGAGATGGCTGAATCATATGGTAGTTCTATTTTTAATTTCTTAAGGAACAATATGAAACTTTTTTCCATTTTGTCATCTCAAAGACAGTTGACCCTTGTATGCCATTTATCATCTTAAGATGGAACCAAACCCTCTCCTGTCAGGAAGGGTCTTCACCTGTCAGGAGAAATGGTTCCCCTGCTGTGGCCTTGTAAGGCCTTTTCTCCTCAGCTAGATGAGCAACATAAACAAGGACAGGACAACATAAATGATCCTGTTGGAAAATATTCATATACATGTGGCCAGGCAAGGAGCCAATGCTAATCACAGTCTCCAGCACCTGCATACCCTCAGCTGGGAGTCTCAGCTCTCAAAAAGAAATTAACAGGAGACCTGTCAGCATCTTGCCATGTGCCTTGGGATAACGCTATCTAGAAACTTGCCTGAATGTTTCCCACACACTACAAGGCCTGCTTCTCAACAGTAACATAGTTTTCTGATACTGTCATTCTAAACCGCAGCACAAAAGAACCCTTCAGAACCTGGGCTAGGAGGTGGGCTGAAATCTGAACACTCCCCAAAGTTGAAAGGAGGCACTTGTGTGACACTCAGAGACAGATGTGAAGCGGAAGTGCTCCCATTGAACAAAGACTACCTTCAGGGCTGGCTTCATAACAGGTAACCTGTGCAGTTGTGAAGTGCCCCACTCTCAGAAAGACCCTATGCTTGGTTCAGCACTTTGCTGTCACCCTCTAGAAATTACTAATATTTTTTAACAAGGAAGAGTTTACACAGTTTCATTTTGAGCTGGGTCTCACAAATTATGTAACCTGTCCCTACCACTTTCTCTGCCAAAGGGGAAATGAAGAACACAGTTAGGGTCCTGGAGTACCAAAAGAGCAGGTGCAATGGAAGCATGGGATGTAAAACAGGAAATCAAGCCCTGTTTCCTAAGCAGGGAGCCCATAATTTAAATTTCCCAAGCCATTATGAAGTTTGAGACTCTGAAATACACCCTCCATTTTATTGCTCAGTGGACATCAGAGGGCTCTTTTCTGTTCCTTTAGTCTAGGAGAGTGGCCCCAAAGACATGCAATTATAACCACATAAAAATGCACCACACAGGCGTCAAAGCTGCAGGGCTGAAACACTTCCTCTCTACCAATATTCATGCCATTTCTCAAATGAGAGATTGCTTTCCTATCTTGTGTTTTCTTTCTTTTTACAACCTCAACCCACTATCCAGATCCCTCTCAACTGACATTTAAGTTGTCCTTGTGGTGATGCTACTATCATTCCTTCCTGGTAAATGTTTTTTAGTGTCACCATCACCTTGACTTTCATCAGGACTGCCTACATTATTTGTAGGACCTGATACAAAATGAAAATGTGGACTGCTTCTTTAAAACTCAGTAAAAATTTTAAGGCAGCAATAGCAAGAGCCTTACACTAAGGATGGGGCCCTTCTATGCGTGGGACGTATGTGACCATGCAGGCTAAATGCCCATAAAGCTGGTCCTGATTTTCATTGGCCTGAATTGGGTCATGTACCCATTTCTTAACCAATCACTGTTAAGTGGGTTGACTGACTTAGACAAAAACAGCTCCCCTGGAGTTGGAGCTAAGCGAACTTCCCCTGAGTTGCATGGTATCTGGTAACAAAGATTCATGAATAAAACCAGACTCCTTTTGAGTAGATGTGAGGAGTGCACTGTTTCTGGGTATACCAAAAACAGTGCCCACTACACCATATATCCATGACTCAGAAGGAGGAGCTCTGGTTGCTTATGGCCTTTGTTATTTATGGTCTTGAAGAATTATTCAAGTCCTACCTACTCAAATCCACCTGCTTTTCATTCCCAGCCTCCCATGCACCTCAAATCTGCTGCCAGTGCTTCCTGGAGGTTCATCTAGTGACAAAACAATATGATTCCTGTCCTCCTGATGAATATCCTCAAATTTAGGAACCAGAACTAACAGACATTTAAATAAATAAAATTCAAATAAGAGGAACATTAAAATTAAATATACCAATGAACAACATATTTATCTTGAGAAACTATGGCATTATTGTATCAGCAATAATGCTCCAAGCTGGGTAGGGTACTCAATAAAAGTTTAGAAGGAAATGGATTTCACAGTCAAGTGGTCAGTGTTGGGTGGTGTAAAATGCAGTTTGGGGCAGAAGAGTGGAATTGACAATCCTTAGTGGCAGGATATTCCTACAGCAACTTTCGATAGAGAGTGAGTCTTTTTTGAGAATCAAACAGGTTTGTTTGGCTAGAGAAGACTGCAAAGGTCACTTGAAGACATTAGTGGTAAAAGGAAAAAAACTATGCAGCAGAAAGTCATTACTAGGAAATTAGATACAATACAAAGGCAACAATAGAGTTTATAAAGATGTACAGAAATTATGACTTTTCATACCTCCGTAGAAATAGAGTGCTTCATTTCTGTTGTTCCTTTCAAAGCATTTTCACTCTTTCTTCAGTTATTCAACATGCTGTTCAGCCCTTAAGAACCAAGCTTAGGCTATATAGCTGTCAAGCAGCCTTCCTTACTTTCCAGTCCCTCTCACCTCCAGTTGAAAGGGAATGAAGAAAAAGACCATCCCTTCTCCATGACCTCAGTGTACTCTGTGAATATTGTATTGGAATTATTTACTAGTTTGTCTCTCACTCACTGGACTGTAAGCACCTTGATACAGAAACTCTACCTTATTCCTCTTCATCACCTCTGTGCGTTGGTAATTGATCAACATGTAATAAGAACTCAAAAATCCCTATTGAAGTAATATGCTCAGAATATACATGGGACCAATCAATTTTAACACTTTGTGTATATAATGGCTAAACAATGCTCAGAAAAAGATAATAATATGTATAAAGACTGAGATATTTTCATTCTATTAATGACCTGAAAGGGGACATTGGATTGCACGTGGATGAAAAGGAGAATGCTATTGAAGATGACTTCAAGATTCCTTGCTTTGAAACCTACAATGACACGTAATAGACCCTCTTTATCTAGCCCCAGTGGAAACGAGACAAAGACAAGACAATGACAGGATTTTCTTCTCCAGCTTATGAAACCACCTCCTGCCTTCTCTTCTTTGTCTCTGTTAGTTCCTTTACTTTAGGCTTATGTCAGAGGCTTGAATAGTGCACCCCAGCATTTGAATGTTTATTTTTCTGTTCCCTAAAAGTCTTTGAAATTCATAGTTTATTTTAGTTATGACATGTAGTCAATAAATGTTTGTTGAGTACATATGGCGCTCAATCCCAGCATGAGTGAGATTAAGTGGAGAATTACCTTTACTTCCCGTATGGCTGATTTGTAAACATTCACATTGTTTGATAAATGGATAATTTAACTCCAGTCAACCCATATCTCTAAGCTGCTACTGAACAAGCAAAGGCAATGACCCCAGAGGGAGCTGGAAAGTGGCTTCTTAAGGTGGCACTTAATAAATGCTTCTACAGGACAGTAGCAAACCTAAAGGTTTTCCTAATTCTCCTTGACATCTAATTTTACCCTTTGGATTTTCTCTTCATGCTGATCTTCATATTAATTTTGGCTTGATATCAACATGTTTGTGTGCCCATGTGCATGTGTGTGTATGTATGTGTGTGAAGGGAATTGGATGGTCTAAAAAGTCTATGACTTAACCCTACTTTGTTAAGTTGGATTTTTCCATACAGAGGTTTTCTCATTAATTTTTTTCCTTTCCTGACACATATAAATCAGTAAATGATTGCTGAATTCCAACATCATTAGGAGATAACTAAATTTCGTTAAGATTGGGTTATAAAAATCACAATTTCTGCATTTACTTCATGGTTCTGGGTAAATGCTTAGTGGTTATAATATTTAAAAAATCCAAATGTCTGAAATATATTAAAAAAACAAGATTCTAAATCTAGAGTCTCTATGTCATTAGTGTAAAATAAGAGTGCTGCATTAAGAGCAACACAGTAACACAATACATAAGAACCTATGTGCAAATTATCTCTAAAGAAGTGTTTATTTGTACTCTAATTCTCAATGTAATTTTTGTTAGTTTTACCCAATTCAAATTTTTAAAGAAACTTTAAAGACATACGTTGAATTTCAATGATCTTCTGTAAAGAAATAACAGCATTCATATTCGGGCTTTGGTGGAGAACATCTTCTGCAAGTGGCTCCAGCTGCAAGAAGAGTAGATAATAATATGAGCAGAATATTATGACTTTACAGTAAGTCTCACAGAAGCAAAGCAAATTGAAACAACCTAATCCTCAGGAAAAGCTTGCTCCAAGAACTAGTTAACATTTTGCTGATATTAGTTCTAAAAGTGTAGCCAGAAAATAACTGTTTTACATCCATGTAATTGAATTCCAAGGGGCTTTTCTATTGGTCGCAAGACTAATCTATGAAGTCCCTGAAGCAGGTGCACGTCTGTGTATTATTCATTATAAATCTGAGTTATTTCTGTAATTTTTGTAGGTTCCTGACAAACCAAATTCCATCATGTCTGTATACGCAGCTGGGCCCTGCAAACAAAACCTCAGGGAAGTTGCTATAGACAGAAAGTGGGCAGTCTATTATCCATACTTTTGCAGTGGTTTTACATCTAACCACCTTACACATTTGGATACTTCACGAGAGAAAGCCAGGAGACACAGCTGCTGTTATTCAAAGGCCATTGAAGAAAGTAGTAGAGAAAAGGTTCAAATAACCAAATGTAAAGTAATTGTACAGTTTCATTTAACTTCTATTTTATTCATAACTATGCAGATGTCTGTGTGTAAGCACAACCCAAATTCCTACCTTGCAAATCTATCATGATCTTCTGGAATTACACTAATTTTTCATGGAGAAGCTCAGCAAACACTGTTTTGCAAGTAATGAAGAGAAGCTTTCAATAATTTATGGAGCCTAATTGTCAGACCTAAGTCTGATAATGCATCCCTCAGAATGCTGTGGCGATTAGCTTGGCATGTTACAGCAGAAAGTGCATGGCTAGGGCCCTTGCAAATAAAATAGTTGTCCAGCTATTGTGACCCAAAAAGCAAATAAAATAATAGTAACAAAAGGATTAACAAAAAAGTAGCTTTCCTAGAAATGTTAAGGTTAATCATCTCAAATATGAACTGGTGATCAAACTATAACTTGGTGTGAATGGAAAGCGATGTCACTAGATGTATCAAAGCATGAACTCATCTATGTCTCTTCATCTGTAAGAAAAACTAAAAAAAACATAGGGATTACAAGTTTCCACAGCATATGTGAGTGAATCTTTCCCTCAGGGTCTCTCTGAATTGATTATTCTATTCTTCAATCATGAAATCTAAAACAATAGCACCTTTATTCCAGATGTCATAGGATAACAGAGTAGCTCAGGGATATTTATACATGGGTAAATTCACTAACTATAACTCTCCAGAGTGTTTTTCTTAGCTGCCAAAGAAAAACCTTTAAAACATCAAAAGGTTTATTTGCAATACGGTTTGGTGAGAGGGAAAAAAAAATCATTATCACTGCTCAGTGGCAGTGCAAGGTTCTGAAATAAACTCTTAAAATTTGTTAAAATCATTTAAAAAATCTGGTATTTCAAATTGTATCTTCAAGAATTTGTTAGTCTAGTAACACTCTCTCAACTCAGAGGAACTACTGAATCATAAACTGAAGTTTACTTGGAAAATTCTTATGCATTAGACAAGGTTGAGTGAGCTGCTTTGCTCATAAATAATTTTTCGCTCCTTTCTTGGAGCTTAGAGAAAATAATTTTAATAGAAACCAGGTAGGTTTTACTAATAAAACATCTTGAAATGACTGTCTATATTCCAATATTTAAGAACAAAAGCATGAGGCGATATCAGCATATTTAGCTCTTCAAAAAGCCTCCCTGTGACTTCGGGGTAAAAATGCTGACAAATTGAACGGTGCTGGCTTCTGGAAAGAAAGCTATAGGCAGATCAAACATCTAACTTCTGAACTCTTGCACACTGAGGTCTGGGCTATTTTAAAGACTGGGGTTATATAGAAAGCATAAGTGACTCAGTAAAATACAAACACCCCTAAACCCCCAATTTAGAATCTTCAGTTAGAGGCAAAAGAGTTGTGTCTACTTTAAAAAGCAATCCAGAGAATTAAGGCAATTAAATTGATCATTTAAACCTCCCAAACCATTTCCCTGCATGTTTTAGTTGAATGTCATTTAGAGGATTTAACCTTCAGTAAATTGCTCCAATTTGTTTCATTTTAAGTGTATACATACGGACAAAGCTGAATTCAGAAAATTCACAATGTAGGTTCTTTATTTTTTCTCTGTTAGCTATGAAATGGATGATATTATCTCCACTGGCAAAAGGCAAGTGGTATTTACAGTCTGTTTTTATAAAATTAAAATCTTATATGGAGGGACCACAGAATTGGGTTGTCTTTTCCAGAGGGTTATTTATTTAATCCCTCACAATTATAAGCACTAACAATATCTGACTGAAGCATCCACTTAATAAATATGTATGAGTGTTGGTCAATATTCATAATTTAATAACTAAAATAAATATTCATTTTAAAATAAATTTGGAGTAGAAAATAAAAATAGGTGGTAAAGTTTTGCCATGTATTTAATTTAGGAGATTAGATACAACAAAAACATTGGGTACTGAGGCAAATCAGCATTATAAAAATTATTAAAAGATAAACAAGGAAGTAATTTATGCAAACAAGACAATTTTTGCATGCAAAAAGTTACAGAAAGATAAAGCACATGCAAATGTAGAAAACAGTACACACCCATCATGCCATCTTTGTCAAGCAATACTGTTAAGTCATCTAGTGTATCTTATAACTCCATGATAATTATCGAGAATACACTAGATAACTTTAACACAATCTCTTGACACTTAAAGCTCCCATCCAGCTTAATTATATCTCAAGCTTAATCACAAGCATTACTCACAGCAATTCTTTACACAGATTTTCAGGATCAGTGACAGGGAAGTTTATTTTTCTACAGCATTTTCAGAAAGTTGTGATAATGTAATGACATGGTTCAGATGTTTGTTAAGTTGCATACACCATACTCATTCTAAGTATCATAGCTACTTTGAAACACCATAAAAGTCCATAAAATTGTGGCCATTATCATCTTATAAGTAATTTCCAGGTTCTTTAGAATCAGATCAGTTAAATCATCAAAAATCATTTTAGTTGCCTACAGTTCATCTGTAGAAATGGGTGAAGGATATTCTTGGAGGAGATGTTAAGAGTTTTAAAATTTATGCTGTACTGATGAGACATGAAAAACAGCTCACTGATTTTTTTCATTTGCATGATTCAGAACAGAACAAAAGAATCTAAACAAAGCCTTTGCAAACGTAACAGGTGTATAAGGATGGATGTATACATCAAGAAAGCAAAGGATCTATTAGTCTTGTTAGTGTTTTTGTTATGTTTTGATGTTTCCCAAATATTTTTTAATTCCCAAGTGTCTTAATATTTCTGTACCTTTATTCTGTTCCCTTTTTATTATCTTTTCTTCATTCTTCTTTGAACTGGTAAAACTTTACCAAGCATTCAAGGACCAGCACAAATATTGCCTGCTCCTCAAATTCTCTACCAGAGCAAATTTCTTCTACTCCTATGACCCATTTCCCCACAAATCCTCTTATTTGCTAAATACATTATGTGGTAATAAGTCATTTTTTCCAATTCTCTACTTCGTTGTGAGCCATTTAAAGCCAAAGATGGAGACTGCATAGGAAAGACATTTTTAAAATGTTGAACAAATGGAGGGTTAATTGAAGAAAAAACATGAAGAGATGACCTTTGTTCTGCTCTCCATAGTTAACAAGCCAAAATAAAATGGGTTCTTCCTTTTGGTTGGCTGCTGTAATCAGGGTATGGTTTTAAGACGAAGAATCAGAACAGCAATGATAATTCATTTTGTTTTCTAAGGTGTACTGCCCTTGTATAATTTCCAGACAATTATTCTCTCCCATGCATTGGCAGGGTTTCCCGACATGTAGGCAGATATTTCTGTAGATCAGAAATGCAGGGAAATGGAAAAGAAACAAAGACCCAGGGTAAGCAGAGGCAGAATAGCCATGCCAATAATTAGAAGAGAAAAAGGCTGCTTCCAATTGAGCAGGAAGAAAAAATAATAGCCTGACTATAAAATGGAAAGAGATTTTGAAACGCACTGAAATTAATCTTTAGCCCAATTTGAGGAGAAGTGGGATCATCCCAATATTTAGACCTCTAATCCATATACATATTATTTAATTAACTTACATGTTTGTTAACTTCTCTAAAAATATTTTACAATTTTATGAATATGGTCATATTCTCAGATAGATGTATTCTACGTATTTGTTATCAGTTTTTGTAAATTATGTATGTGTATATACTTATACTATATATATATATTATATATATATATATATATATATAATATGTATATTTATAATTTAATGTTTAAAACTTCAGTCCTGGTGTGATTCTGTCCTGTGTGCTTGTTCTCTAGAGCAGGAGTCATTTATCTCCATTTGTCTTCTCTCCCACCTAAGTGTATGCCACAACCCCATGGAATATTCGACGGACATGGTCATGAGCCCCCTGAGGCCTCAGAAATATCTTTTCAATTATGAACTAAATCTAACAAAGATTATCACTTTAATGCGGATAATGATGAAAATGAGCACCGGTTTTCTTTAAGAATGGTCAGTTTAGGAGTCGGTACATACAATGAATTGCACATTGTTGAAGCAGAAGCAATTTGAAATATAAAGGCAGTCCAATTAAAAGTAACACTGGCAACGTTGGAAATATCTGTACAGCCAACAGTTTCCATCACGGGCTTTGAAATATCAATACCTATGCTTATGGTTGAAGCGTGGTTCAGGGCAAGTGCATATGAGTGGACAGCACTTAGTAGCTGTGGAGGAAGATGCAGAGTCAGAAGATGAAGAGAAGGAGAATATGAAGCTCTTAAGTATATCTGGAAAGTGATCTGTCCCTAGAGGTGGTAGTGAGCTTCCACAGAAAAAAGTAAAACTTGCTGCTAATGAAGATGATGATGAAGATGAAGATAAGGATGATCATGAAGGTGAGGAAGCTGAACAAAAAGCCCAGTGAAGAAATCTATACAAGATACTCCTGCCAAAATGTACAAAAATCAAACCAGAATGGAAAAGACTCA